AGTCGTAACAAAGTAGGCTTCGCTTCCCGCCGTCACCAGTGTAACGACCCGAGACTTCCCATCAGGTACAAGAAGGCTTTAATTTGGGCCGTTCAATGCAGTGTAAGAATGGATAACAATTGGGCCAAGGTCTTTGTCAAAAACCAATTCGTAATGTGTTTTCAATGTGACAACATGACTTTTGGCAGTCACTTTAGGACTTTTCTGACCCTTGTACCCTTGGGCTGGCCTCTGGACCATTCTCAAACATAGTTGCTTTGTTTAATTTGGTATGCATGTATCCAGCTACACTTACTGCCTTCTTTCACCCGGTAAGAAGTCTCGAGAGGCTGCATTGTTGGCAGCGGAAGCAGACATGACATGTTTTAACGACTTTTATCTCACTGCGTACCGTTTGTTACATGTACCTACGGTGTGGGAAATAAGCGTTTGCATTAGTGGCGGAAATCTTTGAACCCTTTACAAGAAGAGGGTTAGGAGTGATGTCTGTATTTGGTTTTACCTTAGCTCTCTGTTACACAGGCCATGTATTGACAACTGAAGAACTAGAGATGTTTCGTGCCGGAAGCTTTCCTTCAAAAATCCTTATATGCGAGACAGTGGCAAATCCCTTCTTCTCTGTAGCATATCTGTTTTAGGCCAGAGCCTCACCATCTAGTTCTGGAAGCAATTGATGATCAACAAATGTATGCGGTCCCGAACGTTGCTCCAGATCCAATTAAAGCTACTAAAGAGACTAAGTATGTTTCCTGAGTTTCGTGGTGGCTGTCGACTGGTGCGGTTGGCTAGTGGGCGCTTTCTTGTAGCACCCCATATGTTGTGATGTCTGGCGCGGGAGATGAACCGAGGGGAGCGCCGAGAACGTAGCTCAAAAGAAGAGATGAGCAGTGTAATGTTTTGTTTATGTTACTATCTGACGTTTGGTGGCCACTTTAGGGTTTGTCTGGCCCTCGTACTCGTGAGATGGCCTTTGGGCCACGCTCAGGTCGGGTTGCTTTTTCCTCTTTGAAATACACATGTCCAGCTTTGCTTACTGCTTTTTCCATCCTGTGGGAAGCTTCGGGACACTACAGTTACCACCTGACGTTTGGCGGTAACTTTAAGATTTGTTTGGCCCTTGTACGTGTGGGCTGGCTTCCGGACCATGCCCAAACCTAGATGATTTGTTCGCCTTGGAATACATGTGTCCAATTGCACTTACTGACTTATTCTGCTCGGTAAGAAGTCTCGCGATGATTACCAGCGCACACACACAAAGGCGTAATTAGCACCATAGCTGAATGAATTTTATATTACAGATGGTTCCTTCAAAGACCATCTTTCGAATGGGCTTATCTTTGGGCCAGGCCAAGATCCCACGTCATCACTTTTTATTTGGAAGTAAATTGTCGGCCATAATACGCTCGTTTCCTACCAAAGGAGAAGTGTTGGTGTGTTAACGAGTTGCTTTTGATCCGCATATTCCTTTTTGAATAAATCGTTTGTAAGATGCTGTGTTGGAATTTAGTCTGCCTTTAAGATTTGCCAAATCATAAATCAGTAGTTACATCCTCTGCACTCTTTCTTTCGCCTGTTGTAGATTTTTTTCATAGAGCCGAAGCCAAAGCAGTCATTGATAGTTATAAGTTTATTATTCACAACCTTTTTAGTTCGTTACACATGGAGCGCTTGCGACATTCCTCTAACGCTTAACACCATTTCTAATTGGTTGTTTAAATTAGTCCAATCAATTTTTCTGTCGCCTCAGTGTATTGGTAGTCGAAAAATTAGAAGTCCCTATTGGAAGAGAGTAGAGAGCCGCGACTTTCGTTTTATCAACCAGATCTTGGTGATGTAAGTGGTGTGAATCATGCTAAATGTAATTGCTGTATCTGGAGATTCACTTACGACTCACTAGACTGTGTACCACTTACTACTTCCTTGGCTAGATTCCAGCTTGCGCCTTGTAACGGCCTGCGGTGCCTCCCCCCAATTTATTGCTTTCCTCTCTTTATTTCGGTGTCTTTAGCTTTTTAAATGGGTGAGTGTATATGAATGCCAGATTCCGTGGTTCTCAAGTTTGAAACTTTCATTCCCGTTTAGCTGTTTTGTGAGCTCACTAAGGGAACTTTTACTCATGCTCTATTTAGGATTTAGTGGTTCGTATTCCCTGCTAATTTGATTTTGTGGAGTCTCTTGCTGTTTCCATCGCTCGGCTCTCGTTGAGATCATTTCTGTGTCTTTTGGCGCCCCTCGTAACGATTTTGCGTCTGCTCCGTTCCGTTGTGTATGCATTTGGTTCTTTCCTTTAGAAAAATGAACAATATACCTGATAGCCAGGGGGATGAGTCGGCTTATCAAGATGCTAGCTACTATGGCACCATCGATAGTTCGTTAGCTGACGCTGATGCGGATTATTCAGCCGCGGACATTGAGCAGAGGTCACCTCTTCGCGAACAGGACCGTTTCTTACCGATCGCAAATGTATCCAAAATAATGAAGAGAGCGATTCCTTCAAACGGAAAGGTAGCTAAGGATGCGAAGGAATGTGTTCAGGAATGCGTATCAGAATTTATTAGCTTCATCACGAGCGAGTAAGCGCTTGATTTTGCCTAACATCTCTTTAGAGCCGCAGAGCGCTGCCAAAATGAGAAGCGAAAAACCATCAATGGGGAAGATCTCCTTTGGGCCATGAATGCTTTGGGTTTTGAGAACTATGTGGAGCCACTGAAGACTTTTCTGGTAAAATATCGCGATGTAAGCTCTTGCTGATACCAATTTTACGACAGTTTCGCCACGCCTTTGGCATTTCCTCATAATGGGTGAAGTAATGTTTCATGATTGAGAACTTTGTTAACTTGCAGGATTTCAGTTTCAGCTTTGATTCATAGCCCCCTTACTGCGGTATTAATTCATGAGCTCAGTTAGTGGTCAGATTTCTAGTCCACGTTTGTTCAGTACTGTGTTGGTCTAGCTTGATCGGTCGTTGGATTCGAAATAATCCTTGCTTATATCTGGGACGAGTGTGCACACTTGCGGCAGGCTAGGTTCACTGATAAAGATTTGGGAATTTTTTTAGACTACATTTTTTCCATCTCTCGAATTTACTTTCCTGAAGGTCACTCACACCACGGAGTCAAAATCTTTCAAATGCTTTGGTAGTCGAAGGCTGTAGTCGTTTATATCATATAA